CCTCATGGAGGCTGGAGATATTGGAAGAGTTCTGCACGCATCTTTTCTAGGCCGTAACTCGATTTAGTCAATGAACAAAGTTTGCCTTCCTGTTGTTTTGTTCGTGTCCTCATTGTGAGAACAGGAATGACGAGAACTGGTCTAGTGAAGCAGCTTCTTGTGCGTTGGTACTTCAGGGATAATTGTCTTTGTTTGGGAAGGTTGAGGCCTCCGAGTCTCTCGTTACCTGATGTGACCTCTTACATCTTCTTCATATATGCTCTTTATTGGTGATGGCTTCAATATATACTCTGAGTTGTTTCCAGCCAAGTAGGAAGTTAATGCTGTCAGGTTTGTTTTGGAGAAGAAACCAGAGTTTTATTGGCGAGTTTAGCTTTCCTCATGGAGTCTTTGCAGGAGCTCATCTGGTACTTGAGTAAAAGTAGAAGTACTCAGGTCTTGTACTTGAGTAAAAGTAGAAGTACTCAGACCTTGTACTTGAGTAAAAGTAGAAGTACTCAGGTCTTGTACTTGAGTAAAAGTAGAAGTACTCAGGTCTTGTACTTGAGTAAAAGTAGAAATACTCAGGTCTTGTACTTGAGTAAAAGTAGAAGTACTCTGATCTTGTACTTGAGTAAAAGTAGAAGTACTCAGATCTTGTACTTGAGTAAAAGTAGAAGTACTCAGGTCTTGTACTTGAGTAAAAGTAGAAATACTCAGGTCTTGTACTTGAGTAAAAGTAGAAGTACTCTGATCTTGTACTTGAGTAAAAGTAGAAGTACTCAGATCTTGTACTTGAGTAAAAGTAGAAGTACTCAGACCTTGTACTTTAGTAAAAGTAGAAGTACTCTGATCTTGTACTTGAGTAAAAGTAGAAGTACTCAGACCTTGTACTTGAGTAAAAGTAGAAGTACTCAGACCTTGTACTTGAGTAAAAGTAGAAGTACTCAGACCTTGTACTTGAGTAAAAGTAGAAGTACTCAGACCTTGTACTTTAGTAAAAGTACCAGAGTGTAGGAATACTCTGTTACAGTAAAAGTCCTGCATTCAAAAGGTTCCTCAAGTAAAAGTAGAAAAGTATTATCATCAAAATATAGTTCAAGTAGCGACAGTAAAAGTAGTCATTGTGCAGATTGGTCCATTTCAGAATATTATATATGATATGTTTTATAATGATTGATCATGAAAGTGTTCTCAAAGCTGGTAAAGGTGCAGCTAGTTTGAATGACTTTGTATACTGCAGGGTAGCTTGTGAATTTACTCCAGGTGGAACTAAAGTCTGATTTAACACTTGATTATATTTCACATCATTCATCCACATCTGTGAAGTAACTAAAGGTATTAAATACATGTAGTGGGGTAGAAGTACACCATGTACCTCTGAATTGAAGTGGAGTAGAAGTACACAGTAGCATAACATGGAAATACTAAAGTACAAGTATCTCTAAATTGTACTTGAGTAAATGCACTTAGTTACTTACCATCTCTGTTGAGAAGTATAAATACGTTTACCTTCAATACCATCATTTTATCAAAGAGGCCAAATATCTTTAGTCTTCTCATCTTTCTCAGTACTCTATACCCAAACTCCTCCCATGATCAGCACCTCACCTCCTGGTTCTTGGGGTTTGAGGGTTTGAGGCGAGACAGTTTTCCTGGTCGTAGACTTCCAGCATTCATGGGGAGTCGGGGGATTTAGACTGTGATTAGCTGTGGATTAGTGATTTCTGTCAGATGCTGCCGAGGTTTGTGTTGAGATTAGGAGGAATTCCAGGACTCGAGGAATTCTATCAAACCGACGGGAGAGGAAAGACTGACACTTGACCTTTTGGATATTAGAGGAGATGGATAATGAAGGCTCAGTGTGAGGGTTAACGACGGACATATTGATCCCTCAGGTAGCAGGGGTTACTGAAGACATATTGTGACAACACAAGAGTCAGTTAGGTTACAATACTGCAGTAAAAACCTGCCAGCAAACCCAATAACTGTGTTTCTATAACCGCCTTTTGAATATTTCTTCACCCCTCCCCGCACAAAAACATTTTTGGTAGCAAAATAACAAGCTTAAGTACAAAACATTAATAATTACTTTACAAACATATTTAAAGGTGGGGTAGGTAATTTGAGAAACCAGCTCGAGATCGCTAGAATTTGAATTTGCATTCCATGGAATATAACAAAAAGTGTATCTCGAGCCGGTTTCTCAAAATTACCTACCCCACCTTTAACTTGACTTTTCTATTCTTTCTACATGTTTTCAGCCACGTTTTAACCATACATCTTTTTTAATGATTTTACTTCTGTCGTTTAACATCAATACTTGCTTCTTGATCACACTCAATAAAGGAGGGGGGTTACCTTGGTTGCTGATTGGCTAATGGTTACACAAGACAAAACATCGTTATGACATCATAAAGTGGCCAAAATCTGATCAGCTCATTTTCAGACAGGTTTTTATAAAAATGGATCAGGACAAAAAGAGAGAGAATCTTTGTTCCTGAAACTTTCAGAGTCTCTTTACACAGAGGGGACACATGTTGATGAAGAAGAGACATGAAGAAGAGGGGACACATGTTGATGTAGAAGAGACATGAAGAGAGGGGACACATGTTGATGAAGAAGAGACACGAAGAAGAGGGGACACATGTTGATGTAGAAGAGACATGAAGAAGAGGGGGACACATGTTGATGTTAGAAGAGACATGAAGAAGAGGGGACACATGTTGATGTAGAAGAGACATGAAGAAGAGGGGACACATGTTGATGTAGAAGAGACATGAAGAAGAGGGGACACATGTTGATGTAGAAGAGACATGAAGAAGAGGGGACACATGTTGATGTAGAAGAGACATGAAGAAGAGGGGACACATGTTGATGTAGAAGAGACATGAAGAAGAGGGGACACATGTTGATGTAGAAGAGACATGAAGAAGAGGGGACACATGTTGATGTAGAAGAGACATGAAGAAGAGGGGACACATGTTGATGTAGAAGAGACATGAAGAAGAGGGGACACATGTTGATGTAGAAGAGACATGAAGAAGAGGGGACACATGTTGATGAAGAAGAGACATGAAGAAGAGGGGACACATGTTGATGAAGAAGAGACATGAAGAAGAGGGGACACATGTTGATGTAGAAGAGACATGAAGAAGAGGGGACACATGGTGATGTAGAAGAGACATGAATAAGAGGGGACACATGGTGATGTAGAAGAGACATGAAGAAGAGGGGACACATGTTGATGTAGAAGAGACATGAAGAAGAGGGGACACATGTTGATGTAGAAGAGACATGAAGAAGAGGGGACACATGGTGATGTAGAAGAGACATGAAGAAGAGGGGACACATGTTGATGTAGAAGAGACATGAAGAAGAGGGGACACATGTTGATGTAAGAAGAGACATGAAGAAGAGGGGACACATGTTGATGTAGAAGAGACATGAAGAAGAGGGGACACATGTTGATGTAGAAGAGACATGAAGAAGAGGGGACACATGGTGATGTAGAAGAGACATGAAGAAGAGGGGACACATGTTGATGTAGAAGAGACATGAAGAAGAGTGGACACATGTTGATGTAGAAGAGACGTGAAGAAGAGGGGACACATGTTGATGTAGAAGAGACGTGAAGAAGAGGGGACACATGTTGATGTAGAAGAGACGTGAGGAAGAGGGGAAACATGTTGATGTAGAAGAGACGTGAAGAAGAGGGGACACATGTTGATGTAGAAGAGACGTGAAGAAGAAGGGACACATGTTGATGTAGAAGAGACGTGAAGAAGAGGGGACACATGTTGATGTAGAAGAGACGTGAAGAAGAGGGGACACATGTTGATGTAGAAGAGACGTGAAGAAGAGGGGACACATGTTGATGTAGAAGAGACGTGAAGAAGAGGGGAAACATGTTGATGTAGAAGAGACGTGAAGAAGAGGGGACACATGTTGATGTAGAAGAGACGTGAAGAAGAGGGGACACATGTTGATGTAGAAGAGACGTGAAGAAGAGGGGACACATGTTGATGTAGAAGAGACATGAAGAAGAGGGGACACATGTTGATGTAGAAGAGACTGAGAAGAGGGGACACATGTTGATGTAGAAGAGACATGAAGAAGAGGGGACACATGTTGATGTAGAAGAGACATGAAGAAGAGGGACACATGTTGATGTAGACGAGACATGAAGAAGAGGGGACACATGTTGATTGTAGAAGAGACATGAAGAAAGAGGGGGACACATGTTGATGTAGAAGAGACATGAAGAAGATGGGACACATGTTGATGTAGAAGAGACACTGAAGAAGAGGGGACACATGTTGATGTAGAAGAGACATGAAGAAGAGGGGGACACATGTTGATGTAGAAAGAGACATTGAAGAAGAGGGGACAACATGTTGATGTAGAGAGACATGAAGAAGAGGGGACACATGTGATGTAGAAGAGACATGAAGAAGAGGGGGACACATGTTGATGTAGAGGAGACATGAAGAAGAGGGGACACATGTTGATGTAGAAGAGACATGAAGAAGAGGGGACACATGCTGATGTAGAAGAGACGTGAAGAGAGGGGACACATGTTGATGTAGAAGAGACATGAAGAAGAGGGGACACATGTTGATGTAGAAGAGACATGAAGAAGAGGGGACACATGTTGATGTAGAAGAGACATGAAGAAGAGGGGACACATGCTGATGTAGAAGAGACGTGAAGAAGAGGGGACACATGTTGATGTAGAAGAGACATGAAGAAGAGGGGACACATGTTGATGTAGAAGAGACATGAAGAAGAGGGGACACATGGTGATGTAGAAGAGACATGAAGAAGAGGGGACACATGTTGATGTAGAAGAGACATGAAGAAGAGGGGACACATGCTGATGTAGAAGAGACATGAAGAAGAGGGGACACATGTTGATGTAGAAAAAGTGGATTTTGCGTAATAGGTGACCTTTAATATTCGCTGTGTAGAAGTGTTGTTTTTAAATGGACGCCAGCTCATGTACGTCTCTCTGTTTTCAGGTCCAGCGCTGCACATTGCCACTGTGGACATCAAGAACCCGGAGATCAACAACAGCCGCTTCCACAACTCTCACAGCCAGCAGCAGCCGTACCACCTGAACAACATGCTCCACCGGAAGGACAAGAAGGCCAAAGCCAGCAAGAAGAAGAAGCTGACCAAGGCGGACATCGGCACGCCGAGCAACTTCCAGTGAGTCTCCTGTCTCCAAAAGTCTGTCCAAAACCCAGAGATATAATCGAATACAAAGGAAAGCAGAAAGTCCTCACGTTGGAGAAGCTAAACCAGGCATTTGTTGGAGTTTTTAATTGAATAATCACTCAAGAAATCATTGATTATTTGTTTCACCTCCAATCATTTTCTATGTTTACTTACAATAGTGTTTTTAGTCCCCAGTATGGCTCAAACTCTAAAACCCAGATATTATCGAACAAAGGAAAGCAGAAAGTCCTCACGTTGGAGAAACTAAACCAGGCAATTGTTGGAGTTATTCATTTAAATATTACTTAAGCAACTCATTGATTATTCATATAACTTTCAAGTCATTTTTTATGTGGGGGAACTCTTTCTGCAGCTCAAGGTTTTAACTAGTTCAGAGTGTAATCATCAACATTCTTCATCAGTGAGACTAAAGCAATATGGACCCTGAATCTAACTAGAGCTCTCGTCCATAGGAAAGAATGTGCGCCAGAGAACCTTCGTCCCTGAACAGTAAACTACCTCATGGCGGCTTGTGCTCTGTCATAGACTGGCAACAACAATGCGCCCAAGCTGCTCGTCCTTAAGAGAGATAGCAGCAATACCCCAAGGCCGTAGAACTATGTCATGAGAAAGGAGACAGTGAGAGAAGAACATGATGAACTGTGTCGAAGGTTGAATACCTAAGCAAATTATTCCCTAACACTTACAATACCTTTTTAGTCCTCGTGTGGCTCAAACTCCAAACGCAACAGGTTAAGCTCTAGTGACACTAATGGCTAGTTCAACGTGATAAATAAGTGTTTTAAAACGGAAAAGCCATGGGATGATTTGGGAAATGTTTGTTAGCAAGTCTAACCCCGATGTTTTAAGCTTTGACTTTTGCCATTTTAAACAAGCTCCAAAAAAGTTATTTTAATTTGGTTTTCTGTTTGTTTTTTTGCTATAATTATTTATACATTACTAAAAAATATACAAATAGCCAATAAAATATGGCAATAGTAATCCTATATTATTCATTATGCATCAACCTTTATTCGTAGTAGTTTTTTGGGAGTATTGTGTATTATGTTTGTTTTCATTTCAACCGAAAGGAAAATCCTTGCAGTCAAATGTTTTGCTTAATTTCTCATTAGAGAAAATATTACCTTACAATATAAGCAAATATTTTGGCAGCATGTCTCAAGCCTTGGGAAATCCACAAATATTTCTCACTGAAGCTACAAAACCCCCGTGTGTGTGTGTGTGTGTGTGTGTGTGTGTGTGTGTGTGTGTGTGTGTGTGTGTGTGTGTGTGTGTGTGTGTGTGTGTGTGTGTGTGTGTGTGTGTGTGTGTGTGTGTGTGTGTGTGTGTGTGTGTGTGTGGTGTGTGTGGGTGTGTGTGTGTGTGTGTGTGTGTGTGTGTGTGTGTGTGTGTGGTGTGTGTGTGTGTGTGTGTGTGTGTGTGTGTGTGTGTGTGTGTGTGTGTGTGTGTGTGTGTGTGTGTGTGTGTGTGTGTGTGTGTGTGTGTGTGTGTGTGTGAGAAACATGTTGCAAACATGTTGCATTGTGGTCTGAGAGCTTCTCAATGACCCTCTGTATATCTGACTGATGTCACTCTTACTGAAGTTTGTGTGTGTGGGCTCCTTATTGAGCATGCTAAACATGCTTCTGTATATTTATGCGTGTGATCTCACCACATATCTGCATATCTGTCCCGTCTTCTGCAGGCACATCGGTCACGTGGGCTGGGATCCAAACACGGGATTTGATGTAAGTCACACACACACACACACACACACACACACACACACACACACACACACGGGAACACAATAGCGACCTGTGTGGCGGCTGCATGATGAAATCACACAATAGGCTCTTTTTGCTTCCTGCTCATATTCAAAAACGTGTCACTGTGTCTCAGAAAGTGGACACAGAGTTCACTGAACACTGAAGGAATGAATGCATGGAGATATTTAAATATAAAAGCACTGAAAGCCCTTTATTCTTCCAAATTCTCCAACAAGTCCTTATTCCATGAATAGCTGTGGTACAGGAATTAGACCGTTGTAATCTTACGAGTATTTATGATGTGATGATGTGCGTCCAGTTGGAAATAAACAGGTTGTTTTCATCAGAGTTCTCATTTAATGATTGATAAATATCTGTAGTTGTAAACGGAGGCTGTCTCATTTTTCAACTGACGACTGCTTTCCATAGCTGCCTCGTTATCGTCTCCGTTTGTCCTTCATGCTCCTGAGAACATGTCAGTCCCAGAATGCATTGCAGCGTGACAGGAGCAAGAGGTGTGAATGTTTTCTTTGGAGGAGATCATGCAGATCTGCAGTTTGATTTGAATGGAGAGTAGCTGAGTGCGGTCAGGTGTAAAGCAGGGTGTAGTTGCACCTGTTGGCCACCAGAGGGCACAGCAGCACTGGGACTGTGAGGAGTCGAGGTGTATTTGTTATCAGTTGAAACAGAGAGGTTTAAAAAGATCCTTACTAAGTGCTGGACTAAACAGGAAACCAGTCGAGATCTTCTTCATTTGACGAACCGTCAGACAAAACTAATCTAAAACCCCCAAAGTTAAGAAGGAATAAAGACTTGTTGAATAACAAAAAGCAAGGGCCACATAATAACTTGCTAGTAACTGGGGCTTGATCCACTCTGTACTTCCTTTCATGCAGTAGTGGCCCTACAAAAAGAAGAAGAACATTGGTCAAATAACTAAAATAAATAATAAAAAACGATTTTACAAAAAAAGAAGATCAGAGAAGATGTTGCTGTGTTCTGTATTAAAATGTCAGGTTGAGATCTTTTAGATAATTTGCAGGATGATACCAGAGGTGAACATAATTCTTCTAATTTTATTTGTTTTAAAATATGTCTCGCCATAAAAAAAACATTTACAGAGGCATGCATCAAATATTAAGAGCATGTGTAAGGTAGTGTGATAGCAGCCAGGAAACCGTAGGTTTTTGTAATTGTTTATATTTATTTAAAGGGGACCTATCATGCAAAATGCACTTTTGTACGTCTTTTCTACATGAATATGTGTCCCCGTTGTTCCAGGGAACTCACCAAGTGTCAGAAAACACAACCCTCTCTATTTTCCTCCATACCCAAATCTCTAAAAAAGGGGCTGCAACGGATCTGATAAAAACTGATCCAGATTTGAACACTGTCCTGACGTCAGGACGGTGGCGCTACGGCTATTGGGCCAACTCCACCAATCAGGAGGAGACAGCCACGGCCATTGCCGTTCGAAAGCGCTGGAGACGCTGTAGTACATATGCCAGGCCTGTAGGTGGTGCTGTTCTCACTGAATCAACCCTTGCAAAAACAGAGTGCAAATTGAGCAAAATGAGGCATGGCTAAAATGCATGATCTGTTTGGTATTTTGAAAAAAAAAAAGTATAAATATTCCTTATGGTCCTACACTATATTATTCAAATATAGCATGATAGGTCCACTTTAATATTATTTTATTTTTAATTGTCAATTCTCTATTAGACTTTTTAAGTATTTGTATTTTAATGTCCGAACACACTTCTGCTTCTGTAACGAAACTCATTTCCCAAATCAGGATCAATAAAGTATACATCAATCCATCTAGTTAAAGTGGAAGCGGTGGTTTAGTGCAAATCAGCAACTGTTCACAGGTTAAAACTCAAAACTAAGAAGGTAAACTAAGTCAACATTACACCAGTGTCTGGACGAATTGTTCCTTTTAAAGTCATAAAGCTCTTTACTCGTGGTCGGCTTTCTTTTTCCCGTCTTTTCATAAAAGCTCACAATTAATTTAGCAAACTTTTATACACAAATACTCGTCAGTGACGAGACCAACTACATGCTTGTATCAGTAGATGTTACCAGTGTGTTTTGTGTTTGTGTGTGTTTTTTTTAATTGGTGTGTGTGTTGCAGCTGAACAACCTGGACCCGGAGCTGAAGAACCTGTTCGACATGTGCGGCATCTCCGAGGCTCAGCTGAAGGACAGAGAGACGTCCAAGGTCATCTACGACTTCATCGAGAAGAAGGGAGGAGTGGAGGCCGTGAAGAACGAGCTGAGGAGGCAGGGTGAGGACACACACACACACACACACACACACACACACACACACACACTTTTGTCTCAGATTCTTGCACAGTCACAGCAATGCAATTTGCATGTGTAAAACTCCTGATAACTTGTGTTATCCAGAATATTTGGGGATTTCCCAAGGCTTGAGACATGCTGCCAAAATATTTGCTTATAAAGTATATTGTAACTCGCTTTGCCTTCAGACACACACAGACAACTCACTCACTCACACACACACACACACACACACACACACACACAGACAACTCACTCACTCACTCACTCACTCACACAGACATACACACACACACTCATACACACTCTCAGAGGAGCCCTTTGATGTGTCAGACTGATCTTGAGTAATAATGAAATGATGATAAAACCCCTTAAATATGTGGTAAAAAAAGTTGAGTTTTACGGCGCATTTCCACTACAGCGCGGTTTAAGCGTGCCGTGCCCGGCCCGTTTTTGGTTGCGTTTCCACTTGGCGTAGTTCCGGCTAGCGGGTGCTTTTTCACAGTTTTTCTGGCTCTCCAAAATCGAGGTTCTTTCCGGGCCAACAACCGGGCTGAATATGCTAAACTAGTGAGAGAATCGCTGTCAACTACAACAAAATTAACACATTTTACCGTGATTTAATTGTAATACACGTTTCAAAATGATGCCGAAGTAACAACTTGCTGATACCAGTTAGTAAAAACCATGAATTAATGCTTTGACAAGTCTGCAGACAGAAGGCAGGCGAAAAACCTTTTAAAATGCGTGTTTTCTGAATGGAGATTGGCTAAGCTAACGCAGTATATGCTCCGACCGTCCACACTCACAACAACGGCCTACAGACATAAATAAACCAGCGACTGTACTCGCCATGACACAGGCAGTCTGTGGTTTGTACTTGTTTAACTTTTGTCTAGTTTCTGAACAGATATGAGGAGCTGTGAGCTCTGAGTGCTAACGGCTAGCGGCTGATGTTGGTTTTGTGGTTCTCATTGAAGATGACGTCACGGCTCCGCCTACACTGCGTTACTATAGTTACTGCCCCAGCTACTAAACTGTAATGGAAACGCAGCATAACGTGAGCCTGGCCTAACAGGGCCTAACAAGGCCTAGCCATACCGTACTAAGCCGAGCGAGGCCCTGCAGTGGAAAAGCGCCATTAGACTCAAGACCGCTGGCTAATTAGCTCTGATGCTAAAAACAAGCCTGATTTTGTTATCATTCAATGGCTCAAGGTTATATGCAATATCAGATTGAATGAAGAGGCAAACTTAAAACCATAAAAATAATATTTAAGATCAGATTTATAATAGTGGGTTGAAGAGGAAAAAACACTTATTATGTTCATGCTGATTTCAGTGAGGAAGCAGAGAGAGGAATGCATGTGGGGGAGAGAAACTCCTTCTGCAGGGAACACAGGGATATTAGCCTTTGCAGACCATTTACATGCACTAAAACCTGTAAAACACACTAAAGGAAAGGTAAAAGCAGAACAGGACCCCTTTTTTAATATCTATGGCAGGGATGGGCAACTTGGATGGTGGTGGGGGCCACATAATTTATGTTCTGGCCACCAGGGGGCCGCAGATTCACTTGGAACACACACACATACACAAATTAGTAGTAGTGGCGGCTGAAGTTGCTAAATTTCATTACAGCAACGGTCTGCAAACATATTCAACATTGTGGTTTACCCCTGAATTCAGTGAAAAGATATTCTTTCTCCCACTTTTCTTGGAAAACACGATGTTCCTCAGATACCTTTCTCTTGCTCATGCTGACATCCACAGAGCGCTGTGCTCATATGTTACCCACTCTATCGAAATCAGTCGGAAGTCGCAACGGCTCATTTCAAAATAAAAGTGGATTTGTGTAAAAAACTAGTTTCTCGCGGTTCGAGTGTTTTGTTTGATTTTAAATAAACAAAGACTTGGCGTTCAGAATATGAAACTTTTATTGCCAACATCACACGATAAATACAACTTTGAAGCTTGTAACGGCATAATTACAAGCGGAGAACGGAGTAACTTGACGTCACAGCAGGAATAACAACAGCCGGTGTTTCTCGTGAGTGTTTCTCCGGGAAGCAAACACAATACACACAAACGTGTCACAGATTCTTTTGCGGTATTTGGCTGCCGAACAAAATCACGTAGTATCAGTACTACAAGTAAAAAAAGTTTTATTAATTACGCCTCATGCGGCCCCCGGTCCGCCATTTGCCCATCCCTGATCCATGTTATTGAAGTATATGTGACACCCTGTGGTTAAATGACATGTAGAAACACTGAAGGTTAACGGTATTTTTCTCTCTTTTCTCCCCCACAGCTCCCCCTCCCCCTCCCTCTCGTGGCGGCGGCCCCCCTCCTCCTCCTCCTCCTCCTCATCATCACAACTCCTCGGCTCCTCCCCCTCCCCCTCCCCCCCCGTCCAGAGGGGGTCGTGGTGCCCCTCCTCCTCCCCCTCCGTCCAGAGCCCCGGCCTCAGCTCCTCCCCCTCCGCCTCCCACCAGACCGGGAACTCTTGGAGCTCCGCCTCCTCCTCCTCCCCCCAATAGAGGAGGTCATCATCAACCCCCTCCTCCTCCCCATCATCACCACCATCAACAACAACAACAACCTCCTCCTCCTCCCCCACCTTCCTCTCACTCCTCTTCCTCCCCACAAGCCCCGCCCCTTCCTCCTCCCCCAATGTCCCAGCAGTCTCCAGTTGGAGGTGGAAATGGCGGTTTTTCTCCATCACAACCTCCCCCTCCTCCTCCTCCTCCACCTCCACCTCCAGGCCCTCCTCCCCCTCCAGAGTTGGACGGAGGTGTTTCGGGAGGAGGAGGAGACTCCCCTAAATCCCCCGGAGAGAAGACGGCGCTTTTGGACCAGATCCGAGGAGGAACGCAGCTGAAGAAGGTGGAGCAGAACAACCGAGCGCCGGCAACGGGAGTGGGGAGGGATGCCCTGCTGGACCAGATCCGACAGGGGTTGAAGCTCAAGAACGTAAGACTAACCTCCCTCATTAATATATAACGACAAAGCAATGTGTTTCCAAAATCCTTTCATACCTACATAACTAATAGAGTGGTAGCATCTCCCTGGTTCCCTACAAAAAAATCCAATAGGATTTCTCCATGTGATTTTGGGTTATAGAAGAAAATGATCTCTGTGTCAAACAAACTTTTTTGATATTTACATGTTTTGTTCAGCAGGATAATCTCCACATATAAACACCACTTTATGATTTCTGAAGTAAAAAGCTAACATTAGGCTATAAAGGAACGACAGCACGGTCACATGACTTCACGTCACCACAGCTAAGCTAAAGGTGGCTAATGTTGGGCTATAAAGGAACTACAGCACGGTCACATGGCTTCACGTCACCACCGCTAAGCTAAAGGTGGCTAATGTTGGCCTATAAAGGAACTACAGCACGGTCACATGACTTCACGTCACCACAGCTAAGCTAAAGGTGGCTAATGTTGGGCTATAAAGGAACTACAGCACGGTCACATGGCTTCACGTCACCACCGCTAAGCTAAAGGTGGCTAATGTTGGCCTATAAAGGAACTACAGCACGGTCACATGACTTCACGTCACCACCGCTAAGCTAAAGGTGGCTAATGTTGGGCTATAAAGGAACTACAGCACTGTCGCATGACTTCACGTCACCACCGCTAAGCTAAAGGTGGCTAATGTTGGGCTATAAAGGAACTACTTCACGTCACCACCGCTAAGCTAAAGGTGGCTAATGTTGGGCTATAAAGGAACTACAGCACGGTTACATGACTTCACGTCACCACCGCTAAGCTAAAGGTGGCTAATGTTGGGCTATAAAGGAACTACAGCACGGTCACATGACTTCACGTCACCACCGCTAAGCTAAAGGTGGCTAATGTTGGGCTATAAAGGAACTACAGCACGGTCACATGACTTCACGTCACCACCGCTAAGCTAAAGGTGGCTAATGTTGGGCTATAAAGGAACTACAGCACGGTCACATGACTTCAAAGGGCTGTAAAAGCAAACAAAAGCAAAGAGAAAAACAAAATACAAACGTCATAGCATAAAAATTATCAAAACTTTTATACCTGGGCCCTCTGATGAAGTACTTGATGGTGGGGTCATGCAGCTGATCCTTTGCCACTCCAGTTTATCATTGTAACTCAATTTGAAAATGACTCTGTTAATAATTTCGCAACGATGTCATCACTATCACTGACATGAGCCATCATGAACGAACTTATGCTAATCATAAATCTATCGATTAGATTTATGATTAGAAAATTATAAAAGTAGGGTAGACAAGTGGAGATTACCCGGCTGAACAAAACGTGCATTTATCTAACAGGTTCGTTTTCCACAGACCTTATTTCGAGCTATTTTCCAAAACCCTTTGGAGAAATCCCATTGCTTTTTTGTCGAGGGAACCCGAGCGCAACTTACTTCCGGGTTTTAGGACGCGTCACTGCACCACATGCATAAACTTCACAGCGGGCGGAACTTGTCATAAAGTCCGCAAAAATAAAGCCCACCCATTTAGAGGGAAGATATGATTGGTCAATTGTACTGTCATTTTTGACATTACTCTCTCATTGAGTTACTATAGCGGGCCCTCTGTGAATTTACAGCAGGACCACCAATCAGCTCCTCTATTCACAGTAACTCGCAGAGTCGGCTCAAGGAGCTTCTTTCATTTAACCATTCACATTCCAACAGAAACTGAACAGGCAGATTCTTAAGGATTTATTTCTTTGGAAATGTTATTTTAAATCAAGTTATTTTGGTAAAACTAATGAAAAATATAACTAAACAAATATTGAAAGAGGGCCCTCTAGGCCTTACGGCTCGCCACTGACAACAACATAAGAATTGCCATATGATAAAAGCATGTGACAGAAGTGATGCTAATGTAGATGGAAACTAGGTGGTGGAAATTATTTGACAAGAAAAACAAATGCAATTTACAGACATTATTTCAGGGGTCTAACCAAAAACACTTTCAAAAACCCATTGACTTCCAGACGGCAGGGAGTATTAAAATGCTCATTTACAGTGTTTTTACGACTCATTCAGTCAAAGTCTGTTGGCAGTGAAATGCTTATATTATGTACTTTTATTTGACTTATCCGGAGTTTCCCCCAGGATAAGTAAAGTTCTCTGCTTCTGATGTGATATCCTGTGATCAAAAGAGCCTCAGATTGTTCCTGTGATAAACGTCTCTGGTTCTTTGTGTGTCTGCAGGTTCCCGATCAGCCCGAGTCCGGCCCTCTGTCAGCGGCTCCCAGCGCCGGCATCGTGGGTGCTCTGATGGAGGTGATGCAGAAGAGGAGCAAAGCCATCCATTCCTCAGGTAAAAGCTTTAGCTGTCAGGTTTTTGAGTCAGAACTATGGATTAATTGTGAGAATTCTGAGAAAAGAAAAATGACATTTTTTCTGAAAATCTGAGAATTCTGAGTTTAATCTATGAACTCAGAACATTCACTTTTGTTCAGATCTAAAACTAAATTCCCTCTTCTCTAGCATGTTATCACTAAGTCCATGGTTCTGATTTGGCTGTATACCTTTTCCCAAAATACACCACATGATAATTCAGGAACTTATACGTTTGTCAAATCCATACAGAAACAACATTCTAAGTGTAAACAACAATGGACCAATCAGCACAATGACTACTTTTACTTTTGGTACTTTAACTATATTTTGAATGCAGGACTTTTACTTGTACAGAATATTTCCTACACTCTGGTACTTCTACTTTAACTCAAGTACAAGATCTGAGTACTTCTCCCACCTCTGGTCTCTTCTAAGACCCCATTTACACAGGAGCGTTTGCGTTTACGAACCGTATGCGTTTTCAAAAAAGTCTTCCGTTCACACGCATTCGGCTCAATTAACGTGTCCGTTCACACGAGACCGCTGGAAACGCTGGAAACGCTGTAGTACATATGCCGGGCCTGTAAGTGGCGCTGCTGCCACCACAAAATACACCAAAAGCAGCGAAGAAGACCCCGGAGCATGGTTGCCCTTCTGTTTATTCTCCACGGTGGACGGCGTGTTCTCCTGCTGTAAATCTCTCCGGTAGTCCACCAGCAGATGAAAAACACCCACCTCTCCGCCTCTTCCAAGGGACGAGGGGACCATGCGGCAGAGTTTCCGTTAACATTTGTTTTCGCCGGTCAAAATTTGTAAAGTGCCGGTCAGAGGTCTTCTTTGTTATTTATTGAGCTTTAAAACAAATTGATAACGACTCTATATAATAATATAAGAATAATAAACGGAGCCTCTCTTTTCCTCCGCCTCTTCTGACAGCCCAGCAGCTGATCTCTGAGCAGGAGAGGGAGGAGGGGCTATTTCCTCGTTATCAGAAAATGATCGTATAGAGGCGTACACACGGAGCCGTCTATCCACCTTGGGACCCGTTATCGTTTGCGGGGTCCGTTTCTATCGTTTTGTTACGGCCTCGTGTAAACAAAAGGGCTATACGCAAGAGAAACTATGCGGATACAACCTGTATCGTCCTCGTGTAAACGGGGTCTAACTCTCAGCACGAAAGCTAATAAGCGAATTACAAAGTGTTTCATTCGCCTGTATTTCCACGCCCTTTAACACCGTTTTGTTTCCCCAGACGAAGACGAGGATGACGACGAAGACGAGGACTTCGAAGACGACGACGAGTGGGACGACTAGTGAAGAAATCTGTCCTCTGCACCGACCGCTGACACTAAAATATCTTCTAAAAAACCCTTCCAGCATCAGACTAAAACTGTAATGTAAATGTTGTAAGAATTGGCTGTATATTTATTATTTTGCCTTTTTTGCTCTTTTTTTAACGATTATAAGAATGAATCTGTGCAATACCTCATCTGTTAGATCTGTCTCACATTCCCATCGTTAAAGACTCCTTAGAAAGCACTAAACGCCGCCATCAGCACATTTCATGATCGACGCTATAAACCCGCTGCTCCCTGACAGCAGTCTGAACCGAGGCTTCATCGCTCCTTGGGAAATATTGTTTTTCTTGTTTCCATTCCTCTTCTGAGAAACTGAAAAGGAGACGAGCAAACAGGCAGGATCCTCTTTGTGTTAAAATGCGAGATAACACTATTTTCTTACCGTGCTTCTTCTGTCGCGTCTCCTAATGAAGTTTAGTTTAGTCGTGTTCTTTTTTTCATGAATCCTTTTTTGACCAAAATGGCTCAGTCGCCTCACGTGTTTTTTTGTTATGAAGTCAAAGCCGTTTATTTGCACACAGTTTATATGATAGCTCAGTTTTGTGTTTTTTTTCTTCAAGTGTGTGTTTGTTGAGTTTATTTGTATTTAGTTTCAAGCAGGTTACAGTGAAGATGGACATTTTTTAAAAAGGTTTTGCGATATCGTGTTTAAATGGGACTACAAACATTTTCTTTGGCTTGATACAAAAACATGTCTATACACACACACACACACACACACACACACACTCATTTGTGAAATGATGGAAGTTTTGTTCTTATGGTCTGGTTGGTTGTTTTTGTTGTGGCATCTTTCCGTTATTTCCTGCAGGAGGAAACATCTCCAACGCTCTGGTCCCTATTTCAAATATCACGTCATGCAGAGAAAAAAAAAGATGGATATAATTCATCCTCTTCCCTCCAGTTAACAAACTATCATTTTATGCAATGCGACTGTACATGCCTCCTCATGGAGAATCATTTAAAAAAAAAAAAAAAAGCAAATAATAAATAAACCAAATGTGGCATTTGCAAGCAGCTTGTGGTTCGGCGATGCCTGAGATCCTCCGTGTGTAAACGGAAAAAAGAAATAGCCGACGCTCGTTTTAACTGTTCGAGTTTTTACCGTCCTCCAGCGAGGCTGAAAGCTGCATCGAAAGCCGAGATACTGACAGTGAGCCTGTGAAAAGGGTTGGGAGGGGGGAGGGCAATGAAAATACTAAATTGTATACTTAAATAAATGTTAATATTTACAGAGAAATGTGTGTCTTGTTATTTGTTAAAGTGGTTCTACTTCAGAGGGGATGAAGAGTCCTTGAATCCAGTTTGGTGCTAAAATCAACATTCATTTTATGTTTCTGTAAAGAGACATTTTACACAGGTATCGACCCAGAACTGGCCCCCATTAAAGTCAGCATTAATTATTTTCAATGAGTGTCGGCTGTTTAAAACCATGAGGAAACAGTAGGTAGTTGCAGGGAAGCTTAACACAACATGACTACAGGTCTAGTTGAATACTCGATGCTGATTGGTCAATTTGGAACATTCTGTGGTCTGCTCTGTATCACTAGTAGACCAGACGTTCTTGAGTATGTCTTTTTTTCAGTAGTTTGCTGGGTACAGATCCTCTGATAGTTTATAGTAGTTTGTGGGAGAGTGTAGCCTTTGCAACAAAAACCTATACAACACACTGCAGGGAAGGCAAAACCCAAAAAGCATAATAGGGTCTCCATGAAGTTTGTGATTTCAGAATGAGGTTGAAACTAAAAAACAGGCAAAAAACGCATTAAAGACAATCTAGATACTATCACTAATTACACTGAGATCTCATTGTGCTCCTTTGTTCCTGTAAACTGTTTCAGCAGACTGTCCAGTTATTATACACAGCGACATGATCATACACTACCTACCATCTCAGATTTAAAAGGGTATTTGAGTTCTCTGAGAATAGCTGATGGGGTTTTTAAATCAGATGTCATAAACACATGAACTGCTTTTTTTACTTGATTCCAAATAAATACAATAAAGTTTAATCAGAATGTATTTTTATTTCTTAAAAGAAAACAATGTGACACATCAAAGAAAAACATTAACAGAAAATAAAAGAATGTATTTTTTATAAAGAAATCTGGTATAACAATGTATAGAGGGGGCATCCCCCCAAAAGACATACATTTATCACATGAAATGATAGCGAAGCCGGTGTGAAAGATCAAATGGTTGTTCTACTCGGTGTGATTGACAGGAGAGATGATCAGAGGGGCAGAGTTTTTACCACCATAGTTAGCACAAGTACTAAATAATGGGTAGAGTTTCTCTTTGAAGCAGCAGCCAGTGAAGGAGTAGATCAGAGCTGCAGCATCAACATCATAAAAGGAGACCAGACCCTCCTCATAATCCACAAACACCCCCACCTTCTGAGGCTGAGACTTCAGAGAGAGACGGACTGCAGGACCAGCACAAGCTTGGTACTTATTTCCATTCCTCAACACTATCAGCCAGTTACCATTCTGAGGAGACAGTGTGATGCTTCCCTTCCTGTTGATCGACTCTCTGGCCACTCCTAAATACCACTGAGTCTTCTCTTTAACCTGAACCTCGCAATAAAATCTTCCTGTAGAGAAACTCTGCTTTGCTAAGACACAAGAACACAAATCAAATCTCTCCGGATTGTCTGGGAGATTCTTTCTCACATCACCAAGTTTAACTTGTTTTCCATCATCAGACAGGATGAGTCTGGGATGTGCTGTATCAGGATCAAGAGTCACCTCCACCTCATACTGCTGGACCCTCTTCAGCTCCACCTCAGAGAGCAGCTTCTTCATCTGTTTACTGAGCGTCTCCAGCTGAGTCCCAGCTCTCACCACAGTCCCCTCACATGAAGGTGGACGGACCCTGACTTCTGTCCAGTTCTTGGTGGGTGGAGCAGCGTTCAGGGACGTGAAGCTTTGGAGGAGGTGGAGCTGACCTTCAGAGCGTGAGAGCTGCTCCACCTCAGAGCTTCTCTTCTTCAGCTCAGAGATTTCCTGTTCCAGCTCTTTGATGAAGCCTTCAGCCTGTTCCTCTTTCTCTCTCTGCTTCTCTTTGATCGTGTCGATGACCTCGGCCTGGCTTCTCTCAGCAGACTCCTTCAGAGCGGTGAAGACCTGAACACCATCTGCTATCTCTCTGTCTGCTCCTTCCTTACTGAGCTCCACTGAGCCATTCATCTCCTGAATCTTCAGTCGTCTCTTCTGGATCATCTGCTGAATTTCAGCCTCTGTCTTCCCCAGCTCAGCCTTCTTTCCTTCATATCCTTCTTTCAGAGGAACAACATCATGTGTCTTGTGGTCTGAAACAGTGCAGAGCATGCAGACACACACCTGGTCGGTCTTACAGAACAGCTCCAGCAGTTTATCGTGCTTCACACACATCCTGCCTTCCAGGTTCTCCTCAGGGTCGATCAGCTGATGTTTCTTCAGGCCTGCCCTTGTCAGGTGAGGCTCCAGGTGAGTCTCACAGTAGGATTCCAGACACACCAGGCAGGACTTCAGGGCCTTCAGTCTGGTTCCAGTGCAGACGTCACAGGGAACTTCTCCTGGTTTGACAACGTGTTGCTCTGAGCGGCTGCTGCTGGCTTTCTGTTGAGCTGACTGTCTGAACTGAGCAGCCATCTCAGAGATGAAAGTGTTGACCAGCAGCTCAGGCTTTATGTTGAATACCTCTTTGCAGTTGGGACACTGACTCGGGACTTTAGTATCCCAGTGTTCAGAGATGCAGGCTTTACAGAAGTTGTGTCCACATGATGTGCTGACTGGATCAGTGAACACATCCAGACAGATGGAGCACAGAAACTGATCTTCAGTCAGCAGACAGCTGGCAGCAGACATGTCTGTAAGAACAAACAAGGTTTTAACTAAATGTAGTAGAGAATACGGTATGCATAGTGGATGTAAAAAGCTGACACTAAAGTTCACGGCTTGCTTTAAAAGTTAAATACTATCCTTAATGTGTTAAACATGTAGATCATTTTACAGTGTGATTAAATGTCCTGCTATAACTCTGTGACCCATAAACAACACATGACCACAACTCAATTATATTATTTGAAAAGCCTAATCCATCAGAATATATGTAATCATAGCCTCTGATCCCTCTGATCTACCAGTCACTTAAAAGACTGAAGCATGTGGCTATTAGCTGCTTGTTAGTTATTCAAAGAGAAGGACCACATGGATGTTAGCCTCTGCAGACCATTTACATGCACAGAAACCTATAGAACACTACAGGAAAGGGAAAAACCCTAAAAGAATAATAGCGCTTCTTAAAAAATCTCCCTGAGAGGAATTCCTGAGGTTTTGAGTTTATACCTGATGTTGAAACATTGTCAATTATCAGCTTTGCTGCTTGTGGTAGAAATTCTAATTCCCTTCAGAGAAACTGATAAATGAGTCATGTAGAAAGTTTGTCTTTTGTTGTATTTAACAAAGTAAAATACGATCTAAAATGCAGGAACAGAGCAACTTCATCCTCAGAGGATAAAGAGGGTCTAATCCTACCCATAAATTCTGTTAGACATTATCTAAACATTCCCACCACCACACCATAAAACCTCCCAGTCCTTAGCCATTTGCAAATCCACCTTTTGCCCTCTGAAATGTAAAACCTAAACATCAGCGACGTGCAGTCAGGGGAGGCAGAGCCTCACCTGTCATACTCCAATGTCACGGAAAAACAACTAAAGAAAAACTAAATAGTAATAATAATAAAATGTCTCCACTGATCTGTGTTGTAAGTGTGATTTCTGTATGATTCCAATCGCTTTTTATAGTCAAAATCAGCAAATTTGCCGAGCTCCGCTACAACTACATGGGAGCGATGAGGAGTGAGGCAGGGACGAGCTCTGCCTCACGTAAGCCCACAGTAACTTGCTGGAGCGCGGGCACTAATGTAGGACGGGCACTTATTTTGTGAGCGCGTTCAAGCCAGTTACTGTGGGGTAAGGTGAGGCACAGATGACATCTGCCTCACTTCAGAATGCGTCACCCCACAGAAACTGGCTGGAAAGCGGGCACTAAGCGCATGCCTGTTCCCATCTCACTGTATGTCACCAATGTAATGTTTGTAGATCCGTTTATTACATTTATCCTCGCCATCCATAGTCTCTAAATAACTTATTTCACGTATATATGATATTTAGGCCCGCTGGTCTCATCATACAACGGCAATGAAAAAAGCCCCAGGAGAGGCAGCCATAACCTCTGAAGGGGGCGCACGTGAGCCCACAGGTTCTTGTTGCTACTGTTATTCTACGCAGAGACGGTAGACGCAAACAACAAACTAGACTTTTGTTTTGAAACTAGAGGGAGATAAGGAGGACTTTTACAAAAAAGTAATGGAGATTGTTGTCCAGAAGGATAGCATGGACTTCATCTTCAAGTCAAGGTAAGACACGACGCTGAAGTTGGCTTCCGATTCAGAGCTTCCGATTCGGCAGTTAAGGGGAAAGTTAATTACAGCGCTGAGCGAACAATCCTCCGTGTTTGAACCTCTTAAATCGATGCATAGCCGATTTATTTGGACTGGATTATCCCAGAGAGGCTAAACATTCTTTATAACAGTTTCAGATTTGTGAAACCTTAAATTCTATTTGTGAAAATACAAAAAAAGAGAGATTTCAGTGCTTTTTTGCATCCTGGCCACATTAGACCAGGTCCTGATCTAAAAATCTAAAAATGTTTGGTTTTTGTGACCAGTTGGACTCATTAAGGCCATTGTTTCCCTTCATAAGTGCAACTACGGAAGTGGATTGGAGTCTTTCAGAGCCTGTCACAGTTCCAGATCATACCAGTGTAAAGCTATATGTACATTAGTAATCATAGTTTTTCTATGTCAAAAAAAGTATAAACAGCATTCAACAATATCAAAACTTGCTAAACATGCTCACTTTATTATATTTGTGTTGCAAAGGTCATGCCACAGTCTGATAAGCATAACTTGTTTAAGAATTCAAAATGCAGCCCCCACTTCAATCAATAAAGCATTCCAAATATATATATCATGTGCAGTGCTCATTAGTAGCCGTCATCCCATGCAGTTTAAATATACTGGGACCCCAGCAAGGCAGCGTTACACTGGTGAGTACATGTGAAAGGATTTCAGGAGCCTTTTGCTTTATTTACATTATTTTAGTGGTTTGAGTAAGACTACTTTTTAGA